GACAGGTTGGGACGGGGGTCCCCAGGCTGCTCCCCCACCCCACGTCCCCGCTCCAGCCCCAGGTGCCTGTACTGGATCTGGGAGTCGCGGCCCTGGGTGATGACCCCGGTGAACATGGTGATGCGGCGCGTGTCCACCTCGAGCCAGTGCGCCCGGCTGTCGTCCTCGGCGCACCACGCCCCGTCGAAGAAATCGTCCTCGTTGGTGCCTGCCTGGGGAGCGGGGAGCGGGACGTGGGCGGGGGTGTCCCCGTGGCCCCCGGGCGGGCGCTGGGGGTGACCCTCACCTGCATGTTGAGGCGGCCGCGCTGGGCACCCAGGCCGTGGCGCAGCATGGAGGAGGCCAGGATCTGGTCATCCTCGATGCGGTGGGACTCCAGCCCGATTGGGGGACACCCTGGGGACAGCACGGGGTGATGGCTTCCCCTCCAGGCAGGGTGTCCCTGTCACCCCAGGAATGGGGACACTCACTTTTCTTCTCTGCTGGAGGGGCCCATTCCTCCTCATCTGGATCCCACTTCTTTCCTCCTGGCTTTTTGGGTTTTCCTGGCGAAGGAAAAGGCACAGTGAAGGGGACAGGGACAGCTGTGAGGGGACAGGAATGGGGGCTGGCACCCACCTTTGCGGTCCTGCCCCTTCTCCTCTGCCCAGCGCTCTTCCTCCTCCTCCTCCTCTTTCTTGGGCTTCGCTGTTGGTGAGGTGACATCCACCCCAGGGACGTGACACCAGTCCCAGAAACATGCCACCCACCCCAAGAATGTGACACCCGCCGTGGCGATGGAGCCCAGCCCAGGGACACACCACCCTCCCTCTGCCCTGTGGCTCTGCCACCGTCCCTGGGGCACACATGCCCACCCCAGGCCCTGCCACCCCACCCAGCCCCCTCCACCGCTCTCACAGGGTCTGATTTTCTCTTCGTCTGTCTCCGTCTTGTCCTCCTTGTCCGGGTGCTCGTGGGGCTTCGTCGGGGGGGGCAGCCCGTAGGTCCCTGGGGGGCACAGGGTGTGGGGCTGGGCCAGCCTCCTGCAGATGGGGGGCAGGGATGGGGATGGCTGGGGGGGTGGGCTGCCCCGGCCCTCCGGCTCGTCACTCACACTCATCGTAGTCCGGTGGCTCGAAGCCCTCGCCGTAGTCCCCGTCGGTCACCGGGCCAGGCAGGGGGGGCTGCGGGAGGGGCTGTGGGGGGGGCTGCGGGGGGGGCTCCTCCGGCTCTGCTTGGAGGGGGGAAGGGGCTGTGCTGGAGATGGGGAGGCACTGAGAGTCCCCATGTCCCTGCAGGGTGCCCCGTGTCCCCTATGGGGTCCCTACGGGGTCAGCCCCCCCCCCCCAGGCACCCACATTTCCCTTTCGGGTTCCCCTTGTCCCCATCAGACCCCTCTGTATCCCTGTAACTGGGATGGCCGTGCCCCCAGGAGATCCCCACAAGTGTCTAGCCAGGAGTCCCTCAAGCTCCAATGGGAGCTCCATGTCCCTGCAGGGTTCTCTGTGTCCCTACAGGACCCCCGTGTGCCACCAAGAGAGCCCCACGCCCCTACAGGGTCCCTTATGCTGTCCCCATGCTCACCCCAGCTCCAGGCTGCCCCAAAACGCTGCTTCCCTGGTTCCCAAGGCTGGGGGCTGCCCCCCAGCCTCACCCCGAGCAGTGCCAGCCCCCCGTGTCCCCATCCTGCCACGTACGTGTCTCCTCGGGCTGGGGCCAGACCCGCTCGGGTCTCCTCCTGCCCGGGGGCTTGGGGGGCTTCCGCTGCCGCCGGACGAACTCGACTGGGGACACAGAGGGTGGCGCTGGCTTTGTGCTGAGGGCGGGGGGGACGTGCCCCCCATCCCTCCCCGTGGGCAGCGCCCGGCTCCGTACAGTCCTCGTAGTCCTCCCGCTCCAGCTGCTCGTTGTAGTCCAGGGTCGGGGGCTCCGGCTCCTCGGGGACCTCTGCAGACAAGAGACACGGGTGGCACTGGGGTCAGGCAGGACAGCAGGGAGGTGGCACTTGGGAACCCTGAGGTAAGGGTGGCCCTGGGGCACAGAGGAGGTGACACCTGGGAGCAGGGAATGAGTGCAGGGCGCAGGAAAGGGACACCAGCCAGGAGGGAGGTGGCACTGGGATGCAGGCAGAGGGTGCTGGGACAAAGGAAGGTGACACAGGGGTGCAGGAAGGTGGCATTTGGGAACAAGGAGGTGCCTGTGCTGCAGGAGCATGGCCCTGGGGTGCAGCAAGGTGACGTTTGGGGACAGGGAGGTAGTCCCAACACACAAGGAGATAGCCCCAGGGTGCAGAGTGGTGGCCCTGGCCTGCAGAGGAGTGTCCCCAAGACAGGGTGGTGGCCCTGGGGACTGGGCACTCACCTGGCTGGGGCTCAGGGTTCCAGTCCTCCCCGCCCGGCCCCCAGCGCTCATTTGGTGGCTCTTCCAGCTCTCCTGGGGACAGAGGGAGGGGCTGGCACGGCCTCCAGGCCCCTGGCCTGGCCCCCCCCAGCCCCACAGGGGGAAGAAAATCCCACCAGAAGCAAAGTGGGAGGACAGAAGGGAAACCCACGGGGACAAAGCCCAGCCAGCTGTAGGTGCTGCCAGGGCAGCTGGGCAGGATATAGGGTGAAGCTCTGCTGGGCTGAGACCTCCCACCCCAACCCCACTAGTGGCAAGATGGGTGTCCCCAAAACTCACCTCGGACACCTCCATCCTCCTCCTCCTCCTCCTCCTTGTGAGAAGGCTCCAGGAACTCGGGGATCTCTTCATTCTCCTTGCCCTGTGAGGACTGGCGGACAGTAGGGGGGCTTGGTGGCACCGGTGGTTTCTTGCCAGAGGATTTGGTGGCCTTGGGTGGCTTCTCCTTGGGCGGCTTCTCCTTGGGCTTTTTGGAGCCTTTTGGGGGTTTTTCAGAGCCTTTTGATGGGTTTTCTGAGCCTTTCGGCGGCTTCTCCTTGGATTTCTTGGGGGGTTTGTTCTTGCCCCGGTCTTTGTCCTTGACCTTGTCCCTGTCCTTATCCTTCTTGGGGCCCCGGGGTCTCTCCTTGGGCTTCTTGGGGGGTTTTTCCTTCTTCCCCTTCCTGGGTTTCTCAGGCTCCGGCAGAGACTCCGGAGAGCCTGAGGATACAGGAGGGGGAGCGGCCGCCCCAGGCAGGGTGAGCGTGGCGGGGCCGGGCTGGGGAAGCCGCATCCCGCCGGCCCCGCTGCTCGGGCTCCCGGTGCCGCTCACTCACCCGTGCCGGTGCCGGTGCCGGTGCCCAGGTCGGTGCCGAAGCCCAGCTCAGTACCGTCCCCGTCCCGGTCCCCGTCCCGGTCCCCGTCCCGGTCCCCGCCGTCCCCGGGTCCAAGGAAGCCCCGCAGGAACTCCTCGATCTCGGCGTCGGTGAGCGCGGGGGGCCCCGGGGTTGCCCCCGGTGCCGGTACCGGCAGCAGCGGCAGCAGCGCGGCCGTCAGCAGGAGGCAGGAGCGGGGCGGCCCCGCCGGGACCATCGCGCTCCGCACCGGCCCCGCTCCCCGCGAGCCCCGCGAGCCCCGGGCGGGCGGGCCGGGGGCGGCGCCGCGGCCGGGGGCGGCACCGGGCGGGGTCCGCTCGGCACCGGCGCTTCACGGACCGGGCTGGCGGAACGGGACGGGCACCGACACCATGGCACTGTCGCCGGCCCGGTACTGGCACTGCACCGGGACCGCCGGGACCCCGCCCTGACACCGCGCGGGACCGGCACCGGGACCGGCACCGCGACACCGGGACTGAGCCCGCACCGGCACCGGGACCGGCACCGCGACACCGGGACTGAGCCGGCACCGGCACCGGGACTGAGCCCGCACCGGCACCGTGCGGGGTCTGGTTTGCAGGTGCGGGGCACCAGCAGGAGACCGGTGCCACCGGCCCAGCCGCCCGTGCCGGCCCCGGGGCTGGCACCGGCACCGCGCTCCCAGCACGGGCGGGCACACGGACACGGCACACGGACACGGCACACGGACACGGCACACGGCTGGCTCCCATATCCCGGCACCTCCTGTGCCCCTGTACGCACACTGCGCGTGGAACATGCACGGAACGCACACGGAACACACACGGAACACACACTGCACATGGAACACACACAGAACACACATGGAACACACATGGAACACACACTGCGCGTGGAACACACATGGAACGCACACAGAACACACACTGCACATGGAACACACACAGAACACACATGGAAAACACATGGAACACACACTGTGCGTGGAACACACATGGAACACACACGGAACACACATGGAACACACACTGCACGTGGAACACACATGGAACGCACACAGAACACACACTGCACATGGAAAATACACAGCACATGGAACACACATGGAACACACGCTGCACATGAGATCCCACATGGAATACACACAGAACATGAGATCCCACACAGAACATACGTAGAACACACACTGCACATGGAAAACACACAGAACACACACTGCACACGAGATCCCACACCCCCACACGGGTCACACACTGCCCACGGACCCCGCACACGCCTGGCAGTGCCTGGGGCTCCCCGCACACGGAGGAAGCACACACGGGGTGCGGCACACGTGCTCTGCACACGCATTGCACACACGTGGCCCCATCCCAGCCCTGCTGCTTGCAGGACTGAGGTTCAGGCTGGGGCGTGCATGCCCAGGCAGCCCCTGGGGCGCTGGGGGTGATGCTGGGGGTGCACTGGGTGTCCCCCACCCGCCCAGCCCTGCACTGGGGGTGATGCTGGGGGTGATTCTGGGGGTGCACTGGGTGTCCCCCACCCTCCCGGCCCTGCAGGCTCCCCGGGCCCCGGCGGTGGCAGGGCCACGTGGCGGCTCAGGAGCCAGGATCGTCACATGCGTGACCCCCCCTCGCACACGCGTGGCCCCCCCAGCCGTGACTCATGGTCCAACAATGCCGGGGCCTGCCGGGAGCGGGGGGGCCCCACCTGCACCTCCCGTGTCTGGCATTACGGACCCCAAACCCCTGGCACTCTGCCCCAGCTCCCACCAGCATCCTGCTGCATCCATCACCAAAGAAAAGCCCTTTTATTCTTGCTGGGGAGGGCCCGGGGAGCAAGGAGAAGGAGGAGCTCGGGGGAGGCCCTTGGAGAAGCCCCCCAGCACCTGCAGGAGGGGTGGGTGAGCTGGGACCCCCCAACCCTTTCCCTCCTTCTATTCCTAAAGTGACACCAGGGCAGGAAACTCGGCCAGGGAGGGGCTGGGCTGGGCTTTTCCTTGTTCACAGTGAGTTTGGGGGTGGGGAGGGGGGTCCCACACGCTTGGCCGGGCTGGAGCTGCACTGCAGGGGAGGTTTTCATTCCCAGTTCAAATCCCCGGAGCATGTTTGGGGTGAGGGAACAATGGGGAGAGCAGGGAGAACACAGGGTCACACTGGCAAGCTGAGAGTGCTCAGGGTGCTGGGGATTCACCTGCCCTGGTCATGTCAGACCCTGCAGGATCCCAAAATTATTCTGATGAGCTTTTCCAAAAAAAAAAAAAAATTTGGGAAAATGGCTTCTCCAGTGTGGCTACAGCAGGTCCAAGGTCACGGGGTGGGAGGGAGCAAAGGGGGGAGGTAAATTTGTTCCCTGAAAATTCCCATGAGGGATTTGTCACGCCCTCCTTCCCAGGTGGGATGGGACCCTTCCTTCACCCACCCAAGGGCAGCTCTGGGGGACGGGGGCAGCGCCCGGGGGGCTGGGGAATGGCACTTCACTGAGAGAGAGAGAGAAATGGAGAAGAAGAAAAAGCCACGTGTCGTTTGAAGAGCCAGGCAGCAGCTGGGTGGTCTCGGAGCCTGGAGCAGTCCCAGGGGTCTGGAGCCCCCCAGCAGCCCCCACCAGCTCCCCTACTCTATCAGTTCCACGTAGTTGGCCGGGAACATCCCGAAGTGGCCGTCAGGGCCGTAGCCGCGCCACCAGCCCTCGTCGATCATCTCGATGTTGGTGATGATGTTCTCAGGATCGAAGGAGATCTCGGTGTCATCAGCTGCAACGGGACAGAGAGGGGAGTGGGCTCAGAGCAGCTGAGCCACCCCAGCCTGGGGCTCCCCAGGGAGGTGGAGCTGCTGGAGGAGTCTGTGGAGGTGCTCCAGGGGCTGGAGCCCCTCTGCTCTGGAGCTGGGAATGCTCACCTGGAGCAGAGAAAGCTCCAGGGAAATCTTAGAGCCCCTTCCAGGGCCTGCAGGGGCTCCAAGAGAGCTGGAGAGGGACTTGGGACAAGGGAGGGAGGGACAGGACAAGGACAATGGCTCTGAGGGCCTCACCAGCCTGGTAGTCATAGAGTGCCCGGGCACAGAGCCCCTTCCCCGCCAGGTCCAGAGGCTCCTGGTATTCCACCCTGTAGTCGTATTTGGCATCGTCAACCTGTTCCTTCAGGAGGGAGAGGAGAGCAGGAATTACCAGGAAAGCAGCGGGAGGGGAGGGAACAGCAGTGTCCAGTGCCCAGGAATGTCCATCTGCCCCCCGAGGCTGGGGGACCCCTGGCTGGAGGCCCCAGGTGCCCCCTGGAATAAAGCCTGGGCTCCAGGGAAGCTGTGCCACGTGTCTGCCAGAGCAGCAAAAGCTCTTAGCCAAAGAGCCCTTAGCCTGGCTCAACAACAGCCCGTGTCCCTTGGGATCTCATCCCAGTGGAAACACCAGAGAGCAGCTGCAGACACCCCTGGGAGCCCTGGGGATCCCCGCTGCAGACACAGGAGGTGAGCTCCAGCTTCTGGAACGTTCCTGCCAGCCCCTGGGCTGGCTGTGGTTTGCTTTCCTTGGGAAAGGCTGAGGGCATCACCGAGCCCACCTCCGGAATCCTTCGGAACCTGCCGCACGCTTCCAGAACGAGAAAATGCTTGGATGGTTTGGTGAGCACAGAGGAAACCCGAGGGGGCCACGGCAGCACAGCACAGCCCACGAGGAGCCACTGGAGAGCCCTGGATGCACCAGGAGTGACTGGGATTGCCAGCGCCACTGGTGCAGATGTGCAGAGAAGCAGGAGGAGGAGGAGAAAGGGCTGTGGAAGAGGCTGATGGATCCTCTCCCCACAGTGGTTCTGGGATGTGGCACTGACAACAGCTACAACAGCCCTGGGGTGCAGGAGGGGTGCCGGGGACTCAGCACCAGTGTCTCCCACTGGGAGCACTGGGAGGGGACACAGCAGCACCCCTCTGCCACCCAGGTGCCTCCTGAGCACACCTGAGCTCTGGGGCTCTGCCAGAAACCCCAGATTTTCCTATGATTTCAGCCCAGGAAAGTCCTAGGGATGGGACAAGCCACAGCTCCCACACAGATCCCAAAACTCACCTGGGGGGGCTCCTCGTAGATGGCTGAGGGCTCCAGAGGCTCCTCGTACAGATTCTCCTCCACGTGGGACCCTGGCACACCAGAATTGTACCCAGAGTCTCGTCCTAAGGAGAAACAAGGGACCTGTCACCAGAGCCGTGCCCTGTCCCCTCAGCTGGCCCAGGCTGGAGCGGCACCAGGTCCCTGCTGCGAGCTGGGTGTCCCCTGGGGACATCCAGCCAGGGATGGAGCGAGCAGGGCTTTGGGAAGGACACAGGAGAGATCTGCCTCTCACAGGGAAGGGATGAACCCGCTCAAGATGGAAAAGTTCCCGAGGAGGGGAAGGGCTGGAGCAGAGGTCCTGGCCAAGAGCAGCATCTAGTGGTGACAGCGGCCTGGGGACACGGGAGCTGGACCCCAGCACGTCCCTGGTGCCAGGGACGGGTGGAACTAGGTGGTCTCTGAGATCCCACCAAGCCAAACCATGATCTGGGGACAAGGCCAGCCCTCAGTGACACCCACAGCACACAGGGAGACCTGTGGTCACAGCCAGCCCTTCCCTGGAATTCCTTCCTCCCCTGAGCACTGGGAAGGGGCTGGGCAGGGACACCTCCCACCCTCCCAGGTGCTCCCAGCCCTGTCCAGCCTGGCCTTGGGCAGTGCCAGGGATCCAGGGGCAGCCACAGCTGCTCTGGGCACCTGTGCCAGGGCTGCCCACCCTCAGGGAACAATTCCCAGTTCCCAGTATCCCATCCAGCCTTACACTCTGGCACTGGGAGCCATTCCCTGCCAGCAGGAAACAGCCCAGAGCGGTTCTGGGGCAGGGAAACTCCTGCTCGGAGTGCAGCCACCCCGGCTGGGCCCCGGGGCACTTTGGAAAAGCCCAAACCTGACTGCCAAAGCCCCTGAGGCAGGTCTGGAGGGAGGCTGGGGGCACACAGAGCCCAATTCCAGCCTGAATTCCAGAGGAGATATCCTCATCCCTCAGGCACCGAGCCTTCAGCTGAGGACGAGCAGGAACCATCCTCATCCTCAGCATCACACTCAGCCCCGGCTGCAGACAAAGCCCAGGGGAAATCCACCCGGAGTCTCCAGGCCCGGCCTCCAAATGCCCAATTTTGTGAGATCCGGCTGGAAGGAGGAGGAGGGAGGCTTTGGGCAGGGCAGGGAGCCAGGCACGTACCTGCTGCGGGCCCTGGGGAGGCCGGGGGGGACGCCCAGAGCTCCTGGCTGGCGGAGGCAGGGCTGGGCACGGTGTTCAGCTCCTTCTGCAGGAACGGGCTGCGCAGCTTCCCTGCCGCGGGAGAGGAGGGGGCTGCAGCACTGCCCGGGCAGGGGGCTCCCAGCCCGCCTGGGCCCCCACACACTGCTGGGCCACCCTCCCAGGCAGGATTTCCCAGCCCTAATCCTGGCTTAGGAAAACAAGTTTGGCAACTGGTCACAGCAGCAGCCAAGGAAAAAGTTAAAAATAAAAAAAAAAATTTAAAAAGGATTTTTGTTTTGAGGAGGAAGAGTTGGAGGGGCCTGCCTCTGGCTCTCCACGGGGACTTTTGGGGCACCAAAGTCCACAGACATCAGACTGGGAGGGGATGATGCAAACTGGTTTCTGCCAGTGCATTTCCTGTGGCAGGAGGTGACGGAGCTGGTATCTCCTCATCTCCACCTCCAAACCAAACAAAAGCTGAGCAGAATTCCCAGACAAGCCCTGCCAGCACCAAGACTCCTGCCTACCCTCATCTCTGATCAATTCCAGGGCTTTTATCTCCCTTTCCTCCATGAAAACCATCAAATCCTAATGAAACACCTCAAAGTCAGTCTCTCCTCATGATGCCTAACCATCAAACAAGACATTTTCCCAGCGTGGCATTCCCTCCTCTGCCACCCCTGGCTCGCCTGCCCAAGGCAGCAGGATTCATGCTCCCATCACCAAGTGAAAGTGATCATTCTGAACCAATTCAAGGTGCTTTGGAGGTGGTTGGGCTGAGGAGGATGAGGAGGAGGAGGAGGGGCAGAGGCAGTCACCCAGGGGTGTCACGAGCCGTCACAGCTACTTCCTCAGCGGCACTCGGCTCTGGTTTGCAAACTTCCTGATTTCTATCTGAGAGATCAGATCAGGCTCTTCCTACAGCACAAGGTTCTGCTGGGCTGGGGCAGCGCAAAAATCTGGGTGAAATTTCATTCAGTCGGGGTAGATCGCGACAGTGGTGTTAACAGACCGAACTCTAATTTAAAAAAAACCAAAATGACCAAAAACTTTAAGGCTCAGAAGGGGAACCAGAGATGGGAAATGTGCTGTCTTTGTGATTAAAACCTGTCTGGACACAGCCCAGCAGAGAACATCAGTGTGCAGAGAGCTGTCAGCTGCACCCATGGCCTCGCTGCCCCCCGGGACCCCTCCAGCAGGGAGACCCAGCGGGGTCAGGGCTGCCCCCAGCACCCCCCCAGTGTCCCCAGGCTGTACCTGGCTGTGCTGGCACCCCCGTGTCCCCCGGCCCTGCTCTCTCCCTTTGCTTGAAGATGTCGCGGGGGTTGACGGCTCTCTGCGCGATCAGCGTGGCCGCCTCCTGCCCGGGGTGGTGGCCAGTCAGGGCCAGCGGCTGGGGCAGGGCCAGCAGCCCCCGTCCCAGGGCCAGCAGCCCCTGTCCCAGGGCCAGCAGCCCCCCATCCCAGGGCTCAAGGCACGGCCAGCAGCCCCCTGTGCCCATCCCCATCCCAGGGTCAGCAGCCCCCGTCCCTGTCCCCAGGGCACGGCCAGCAGCCCCCCATCCCCATCCCCATCCCCGTCCCCTGCTGACCTGGGCTTTCTCCACCGACTCGCTCCTCCTGACGCCCCTGCGCTCCTCGGCGCGCTCCTTCTGCGGCGGGGACAGCGCTGGGCAACCAGCCGCCCTCCGTCCCTGGCCAGCCCCCTGCCAGAGCCACCTGCCCCCCACACGTCCCCTCTGCCCCCCTCTGCCCCCCAGGAGCTGCGCTGGAAGGGGGATGAGGGGGAGCCCCGGATCTGGGAGGGAGACACGGGAATTCTGGGCTGGGAGCGGGACTCGGTGTCACGGAGCTGTGGAACGGTTTTGGGTGGGAAAACCCTCTGAAAGTACCAGGTCCAGCTGCTGGCCCGCACAGCCAAGGCCACCACTGACCCACGTCCCCAAGTGCCACATCCACACAGCTGTGACAGCCGTGTGCCAGCACTGCCCTGGGCTGGACAACCCTTTCCATGAAGGAATTTCCCCAGTATCCAACTTAAACCTCCCCTCTGAAACTTGAGGCCATTTCCACTTGCCTTGTCCCCTCCACCAAGGATAAACCTCGCCTAGGGCCAACACCAGAGCTCACCCATTGCTGCTGCTCCCTGTCCCTGTTCTCAGCCTCCTGCTGCTGCTGCAGTCTCCTGTGGGGACAAATGGGTTAAAACCGAGGATTTGAGACCTCACCCCACTATCCCAAGACCCTGGGAATAGCACATCAAGGCTATCTCTCACTTTGATAATGCTTCTCCTCGCCTCAGGGCCAGACTAGGTGCTACAAGGTGCTCTCCTGGAGGAGAGGAGCACGATGAGAGGGGCAGGAGCTGCTCCAAGAGGTGGGATCATCCCAGGGAAATCTCTTCCTTGGGAATACGGACATGAGCATCTTTATATGGGAGATGGGCAGATTTCCCTGGAGTTGTCCCTGCGGGGCTTGGAGCTCCCTGGACCTCTGACACCCCAAAAACAGGGGCCATGGGTGCCAGGCAAGAGTTTGGGAAGCAGAAGGGAGAGGAGGAGTCCTGGAGCAGGATCCACGGGCAGGGGGACTCAGGGGTGATGCTGACCAGCAGCCAAGCTCCTTGGGGGCTAGCCAGGGAGATTAGGGGTCAGCCAGTCCCTCCTCAGCTGGAGTGAGATCCCCTCACGTCTGTTCTCTTAAAGGAGATTTCCTGGGACTGTAGCAATCCCCGCAGTGGGAAATGCATGGCATCCACCACTCCCTAAGGAACAAACTCTGGAGTGGGGGCAGCTCAGAGAGGCAATGACGGGGACCCCCAGCACCACAGGGACCCCAGGCAGCAGGACAGGCTCCGATTTCCTAAACCCCACTCACTTCTGGGCTTCGATTTCACTGGCTCTGGCTTTGAACATCTGCTCCCGGCCCGCTGCCTCCTGCAGCTCCCGCTCGCGCCGCTCGCGCTCCAGCCGCTGCCGCTCTTCCTCCGCCCTCCTCTTCTCCTCCAGCCGCCGGTTCTCCTCATCCTTCTGAGGGCAGAGGGCACAGGGCCGTGGGCTGCTGGGCTCACAGGGGCGGGGGTCCTGCCACCAGCGCTGGAACCCCCCCGGGCCCTCTGCACCCCGGGGCTCACGGTGCATCCCAGGGCACTTTTCCAGTCAGGAGGTTCACATGTTATTGCCTAACCCCATAAAAGCCAAGGTGAAAGGGGAGGAAAGCGGGAGCAGCCCTGGCAGAGTCAAAACCCAGTTTGCTGCCCCAGCTGGGTGTGCTGGAGCTGGGAATGCCAGGAGAGCCAAGGTGCATCCCAGCCCTCCCTCCCCAGCAGCCCTGAGCCAGATCCAGGAGAGGTACAGCAGATGAAGCAGAACCTTCCCCGTCAGGATTCAGCCCCTCCTCTTGGAGCACCCCACGGCAGCAGCTCTGGATCCCCAATTCCAGGCAGGACTCCCCAGCTCCCAGACATGGAATAAAACTGGAGAATCGTCTCCAGCCAAGCCCACTTTGTGCTCCGAGGCACACCTTCACTCACCTCTGCTTTGGCCCAGAAATTGTCCTTATTGACCCTCTTGATCTCAGACATCGCGTTCGTCTTCTGGTACACAGAGCCCTGAGCAAGGCACAGAGAAACCTCCTTTCTCGCACATTTTGTCAAAAGCCAGCCCAAATCAGCGCAGTCTGGGACTCCCCTTAGAAGTTCCTGTAACCTGGTGCTTTGCCCCACAATTTAAAGGAGGGCTGGGTGAGGCCAGCGATGTGCACCTTGCCAAAAACAGGAAATTGCTGGTCCTGGCACGGGTGGCTGCTGTGCCCTGGGAGTGTCCAAGGCCAGGCTGGATGGGGCCTGGAGCAACCTGGGATAGTGGGAGGTGTCCCTGCCCATGGCAAGGGATGGGACTGGGTGGGCTAGAGCCCCTTCAGGCACAGAAGGGGCTCCCTGGACCTTCCCTTCCTTCTCAAGGCTGAACATCCCACCGAGCTGCCAACGGCCAGGGTGCCCCTTCCGTCATGGATGAACACTGCCCCAGACCTTCCCCCCACCCAGAGGTACCCAAAAGCCCCCAGTGACCCAACTGACCACGGGAGCCTGGGGCCCCGAGTCCTGGAACTTGCTGCTCTCCTTGTGGAAGCTGTAGTTGGCCCCGGAGGCCTTGGCCACCTTCTCCATGATGAGCTCGGGCTCCACGTCCTCCTCTGCCCGGGCATTGATGGTGACGTGAGCCCCCTGAGCAGGAGGAACCAGGACAGCGGTCAGGGGGTCACTCTGGGAGCCCCCAGACCCACCACCCTGCCCTGGGCGGTCCTGCCTGTGCTCCCGGAGCTCCCAAGGGAAGGAAAAGGCTTCTGCCGAGGAGGAGGAAACATCCCGAGGGATTTTTGGACTGGAAGATGTCCCCGAGGGTGGCAGGGGGGTAGACAGGGATGGCCGCAGGTCCCTCCCACCCAAAGCACCCCGGGGCTGCCTGAGGGGGGCACGAGCAGGGTCAGACCTTCAGGAAGTTGGCCACGGTGCTGACGTGGTTGGCGCAGGCTCCTTTCCGCACGTCATTGACACCTTCCCCCGTCTGCAAGGAGACACCAGCAGCTCACCTGAGCCCCTCGGGGTGCACTGAGGGCTGCAGCACCTGGATGTGAGCCTGAGCCCCTCTCCAGCTCACCTGGGCCCCTCTCCAGCTCACCTGGGCCCCTCCCCAGCTCACCTGGGCCCCTCCCCAGCTCACCTGGGCCCCTCCCCAGCTCACCTGGGCCCCTGGAGGCTCTGCAAGGGGCTCTGAGGTGTCCCTGGAGCCGTCTCCTCCCCAGGCTGGCCCCAGCCCCCCCGAGGGCTGTCCCCACTCACCCAGTTGACCAGGACGTATTTGGGCAGCCCCGAGTTGGGATCCTTCACGCGGCAGAAGCCGTACATCACCTTCCCGCTGTTGAGCTCCTCCACCATCTCCTCCAGCCCCCCATCTGCGCCGGGGGAAAGGAGAGGGGTGAGTCCAGCCCGTTCTGGGCGTGCTGGGGGCAGCCAGACCCACCCCAGCCCTGTCAGATGCAGGGCTGAGGTGGCTCACGAGGGCTCGGAGCCCGTGCTGGCTCTGCAAACACAACCTGAGCATTTACCACCCACGTGGGAGACAAGCCCCAGCCTCTGCTCACCCACTCCCACCCCCAGCAGCCTTCATCACCCAGCTCCTCTTCCTCAGGCCTTTGCAAACCCCTCACGGGCAGATCCTGGATCTCAGGCCTGAGAGAGAAGGGGAAGGAGCCGCTCACACTCAGTCAATCAGAAGCTTTAATGAGAGCAGGCAGCTGCCAGTTTTGCCCACAGGTTCCTGCACAAAACCATGCTCAGAGGCGCCTCAGTGAGCGGGGGAATGGGGCTGGGAGTGGTGGAGGAACTGGCTGAGCCTTGTTCCTGCTTTGCAAGTAGAGAAGGAACCAAAAGGGCAGCATGGGGCAAGGTCCTGCCAGTGCACCACGGGGAAACTCCTGCCTCAACGCCTCCCTCTCTGTTACACCCACCTAGAGTGGTCTCAGTGCTGGTTTGAGGACCTGGGAGTGAACCCCAGAGGGAAAATCCCACACAGGGCTCAGGCAGGGGCGATGGAAAGGGACCGGCATCGCTCCCACTACATCCATAACTACCAGGAAAGAAGGAAAACCACCAAAAATGCACACCCTCATCTCAAAAATATTCCCCCAGACCACAGTTCCTCCTGTGCTGGGCTGGCTGAGCCCTGAAAAGTGGAAAAAGAGCCACTGGTCCTTATCAGCCCTGGCAGGAGCAGAGACCAACACAGCTCACTCTGCTCTGCAGCATCACCCGATCACTTCCTTCTCCCTATTAAATATTTATGATTTGGCTCTAAATTTGGCTCCAAACCCGGCAGGGAAGTTGAAGGTTGGAAGTCTGAAGCTGGTTGGTGAGGGCTGGCTGGGGGGAGCTCGGGGCACACTCTCTGCAGCTCCCCAAAACTCCCCAAAACCTCCCTCTGGGACTTGACAAGAGTCCTCCTCAACAAACTTCCCCAGCACCAAACCCCTGGCTCCATGCGCTCCACCTGTGGAACATCCCAGAACCTCCCACAGGCTGGAAAAAGCGTTTGGAAATCACGGGAGAAGCTGGGGAGGGATGAGAGGATGCAAATGCCAAGCGTGGGGAAACCGGCCTGGTGCTGCTGCCCGGAGGCTTCAGCTTCACAGCCAGCGGGGTTTGGGTGGGAATCGGACACAAACAAAGAAAACAGAATGGCAGGAAGAAGGGAATTGGACAAGAGGGGCTTTAGGAGCACTGAGCAGGGAGGCCTGGCTGAGTGAGTGGCTTTGGAGGACCACGTGGCCCTGCCTAAATCCGGGATCTAAAACACTTCAGGGATGCAAAGAGGGGCCAGGATCCAAACTTTGGATCTCCTGGAAGGGAGGAAAACAAAAGGAAAGGGAAGCAGAGCTCGCAGTGAGGCTCTGCTCCATGTTCCTCACTCCAAAATCCCACCGGACACCCCGACACAGCTCCCAGCCCTGCCCCACCACCAAGGGCACCCCAAAACAGCCCCGGGGATTAAACCCCCCGACATCTCAGGCAGGTGCCCTGAGATGAGCCCTGGAAGCCCCCAGACACCTGGGAATGGTCCCCAGAATCCTCACCTCCAGAGCCAGCCACTCGCAGGTCATTGCTGTTGCCTTCATAGGTGAAGAGAGCCCTAAAATTAAGGCAGAAATGGGATTTTTAGCCAGCTTATTGCTTATTCACACACCCCTGGCACCTCCCGAGCTGCAGAGCCCCAGAGGGACCTGCCACCCCACAGCCCGGGGACCTCCTGATGCCCCCAGACACCCCCTGAGCCCCTCACCGCCCTCTCACCCACCCCACACCCCCCAGACAGCCCCCCCGTGTCCCCCAAACCCACCGGCCCATATTTTTCCCATCCCCATCCCCTCCCCACCCCCTCGCATTGCCCGGCACCCCCATCCCCCACCCCAACACCCACATCCCCCCGAGCTCTTCCCGGCCCCCATCCCCATCCCCGGCCCCACCGGCCCCGGTCCCGCCGCCCCTCCCGCACCAGTCCGTGCGGCTGCCCGCGGCCACCACGCTCCCGTAGGCCTCCTGCAGCGCCCGCCCGTTCTTGGCCAGGTTCAGCGCCATGGCCGCGCCCGCTCCGCCCGCCGGTGCTACCGGCACCGCCCCCGGTACCGCCCCTCCGGTGCTACCGGCACCGCCTCCGGTACCGCCCCGCGGTGATACTGGCACCGCCCCCGGCCCCGCCCCGCCGGTTCTACCGGCACCGCCCCCGGCCCCGCCCCGCCGGTTCTACCGGCACCGCCCCCGGTACCGCCCCGCGGTGATACCGGCACCGCCCCCGGTACCGCCCCGACGCGCTACCGGCACCGCCCCCGGTACCGCCCCGCGGTGATACCGGCACCGCCCCGGGTACCGCCCCGCGGTGATACCGGCACCGCCCTCGGCCCCGCCCCGCCGGTTCTACCGGCACCGCCCCCGGTACCGCCCCTCCGGTGATACCGGCCCCGCCCCGCGGTGCTACCGGCACCGCCCCTCCGGTTCTACCGGCACCTCCCCCGGTACCGCCCCACGGTGATACCGGCACCGCCCCGGACAGCCCCGCCCCACCAGGCCACGCCCACTGGATGCTACACCACGCCCACAACTTGCTAGACCACACCCCCGTGCGGCTAGACCACGCCCCCGATCGTCAGAACGACACCCCCCCCCAAATTGCAGCGCCCCCCCCCCAAAACCCCGGCAGAGAGAACCCCCCACCCCGAACAGACAGGCCCCGCCCCCCGGTGGGCCCCGCCCCCTTTCGGGGTCCCTCCGGACCCCCATCCCCGGTGTGCCCGGGGCGGGTCTGGGGTCTCCCATGCCGGGCCGGCTCCTGCGGGCCCCGTTCGCGGCGGTCCGGGGTCCCCCGGCCCGGTTCGATTCTGGGAGAGCCCCGCCCAGCGGGGGTCCCGCAGCCCCGGTTCTCCCGCAGCCCCGGTTCCCGGGGACCCCCATCCCGCGCCGTCCCGGGACAGCCGCTCCGGTTCTCGGGGGCCCCCATCCCGCGCCGTCCCGGGACAGCCGCTCCGGTTCTCGGGGGCCCCCATCCCGCGCCGTCCCGGGACCGCCGCTCCGGTTCTCGGGGACCCCCATCCCGCGCCGTCCCGGGACAGCCGCTCCGGTTCTCGGGGCTCTCTGCGGCAGCGCAGCCCGCGCCCCGCGCAGCGCTCCCGCGGCCCCGGGGGCAGAAAATCGCCTCTTTAGGGGGTTTCCCCCATTTCCCAGCCTGAGGCGGGGCACAGCGGGGATGTCTGAGGGTACCGGGGCTTTTTGGGGGTGTCAATGCGTCTCAGTTTTAGCCCCAATGACCAAAATCGTGCGATGACCCTCCCGGAGCGGCGTTCTTGGGGGGCAGGCGGAGGCCGGGGGAGCCCGGAGGGGACTGCGGGGAGGGAGCGGCGGTGTCCCCGGGAGGTGTTAATGGGACATTAGCGGCTCATTGTCCCCCCGCTGCCGACACCCGGCCGGCACCGCCTGGGGAAGCGCCGCTCGGGCCCCCTTTCTCCCCCCCGAGCCTTCCTCCACACGCGGGGGCTCCCTAAAGTTGGGAGAGCAGCAAGGACGGGGAGATGGAAGGGGGAATTCCCCCCAAAAATCCTGCGGCGTCTCAGCCCCCCCATTCCCCGCGGGCTCGGGGCCACGGCGGGAGCAACTCCCCGGTGAGCCCCCGAGCACCGTCATGCACGGGGGGAATAACGGGGCCGAGCTCTCCGTGCCCCGGGAGGGTCAGGTGGGGGGAAGGAGCCCTCCCAGAGCCCAGCTCGTCCCCAGAGGTAGGGATGGTCCCCAGCTCCCGGGGAAAAATGAGTCTGGGGGAGTGGGGTGGGGTGGGAGATGGGGAATGGAGGGTGCTGGGGTGCCCGAGGGTCCTGAGGCACCTCAGAGTCCTGGGGTACCTGGGGGTCCCAGCGTGTCCAGACTTCCAGACCGCGGCTGGAGGAACAGCGGAGGGTCCTGGGGTGTCCGAGGGTCCCGAGGTGGCTGAAGGTCCTGGGGGGTCAGATGGTCCCACCCCTCACCCGCTCCATCCCACGGACCCCCATCCATTTATCCGGCCATCGCCCCCGGAACCCCGGGGGTGTCAGCTCCTGGTGGATGGAACCCTTTGGGGCAGCTGTCCTGTGTTTGTAGGACCTACGAAAATGGTGGGAAACACCCCAAAAGCGTGGGGCTGCCTTTTTTATGATTTAGGAGGTCATAGAAGGGCAAAGTTTTGAGGCACCAGGGGAGCGCTGGGTGGCACGGGACATTCACGCCCAACACGTTCCCTGCTGGGAACCAGCCCACTCCTCACGCCTTCAGGATTCATCCCAGGTTGTTTACGGGAAATAGGGGCAAAAATAATGCATAAGGGAATTATTTATAATTTTTAGCATCCTGGGACTCACACAGAGCCCTGGACATTTCCACACCCCTACTCCATGCGCCCCTAAACAAGGAGCTGCCTGGGAAGAAGGGGCAGATGTGAGCTCCCCATTCAGCACGTGGCTGGAAATGTTAATTAAACACAGGGCAATAAAACATCTGGAGGGCTGGGAGCGGGGAAGGGCCAGCCGGCACGACCCCCCGCAGCTGCCTCCTGCTTTTCCTTGGGAATCTTGGGCAGGGGGGACCGGGGTCACCAGCGATTTCGATGGTACAAAAGCCTTTTCATGAAGTATTTCAGGCAAAGCAACTGAAGAACCTTTGTGGCGCGGAGCGAGGGGCTGCCGGGGGGCGGTGGAGTCTGGTGGCCCCAGGGGTTTGGGGGCTGGAGATTGGGGTTCACGGTCGGGCTGTGGGTGGTGGGACGGGACAGAGACAATGCTCTGGAGGTGATGGATTAAGCCCCGCTTGGTGCCACCCCACCAGCCCCACAAGTGCCTGCCATGCGGGAACGAGCCCACCCTGTGGAAAAAAAAAAAATAAATAAAAAATAAAAAAAGGGGGAAAAAGGTTTTTCGGACGAGTCTGTCCCGCTGGCCGGTCCCGTCAGGGCAGGACCCCGCTCCCAGCGTGGGGAGGGGTGGGCACGGCCCTCTGGGCATTCCTGGAGCGAGGGACAGGGGCGCCGGGGTGGGCTGGGGTCGCTCCGGCGTGGTGCCACCCATGGGTGGGATGGGTGGGATGGGTCCCCCCGGTGGGACATGGGCTCCCTGCCCCACGGGGCACACAAAGGGGGTACGTGCACCCCGGCAGCGCAGGAACGGTGCACTGAGGGGCGTCCCGGCGGGGATCGGGGCACTCCGGGACCGTGGGGGCAGCTGAACAGGACGGGGGGCACGGGTGGGAGCACCCCGATGGCACGGGACACCCTGGGAGGGATGGGGGCACCCGGGGCACGATGGGGACACCAGGGCAGGGTTAGGGTTAGGGTTAGGGTTAGGAGGTCCCCGGGAGGGACACGGACGGAATGGGGGGGACCGTCAGTAAGCTGAGAACACTCAGATGTGTCAGAAGCGTCACGCCGCGTGGAATGGGGGGACCACGGGTGGGATGGGAACGCTCGGGTGGGAGGTGACACCCCGCGTGGGACGGGGCGACCCCAGCTGGGGCACCCCGGGCCGGGTGGGGGAGCCCCGCACGGGATGAGGGCGGCACGGACGGGATGGGGAGAGCGCGGACAGGATCGGGGGAGCTCCCCGGACGCGCGGGGAGCCCCGGAGGCGGCGGGACCCACCGGTGCCCCGTGGGCGCCCCGTGGGCAGCGCGGCCGGCGGCGGGGCCGGTGCGGGGCCGGTGCGGAGCGGTGCGGGCCCGGCGGGGCGGTGCGAGCCCCTGCCCGGCCCCCGGTGTCGGTTTGCATCCCGGCTCCTCCCCGCCCCGCCGCCCCGCGCATTCCCGACCCTCCGGGCGGTGGCGGCGGCGGCGGCGGGGCCCGGCGGGGCCGGGGCGGGACCCCACGATGCCGCAGCTGGAACCCACGGGGGGAGACGACCTGGGGGCCCCCGACGAGCTCATCGCCTTCCAGGACGAGGGCGAGGAGCAGGACAAGGGCGCGGGGCGCGGCTCGGCCCACGGGGACCTGGACGAGCTCAAGTCCTCGCTGGTCAGCGAGACCGAGAACCGGGGGGGCCCCGGCCCGGTGGTCGGCCCCGGCCCCGAGGTGAGGCGAGGGGCGGCGGGGAGCCGGGGGGAGGCGCCCCCCGCCCGGCCCCGCTCCGCTCACCGCCTCTCCCCGCAGGCGGAGCGGCCCCCGCCGCCCCGGGAAAGTTTCCAGAAGCCGCGGGACTCTCTGGCAGAAGGTACCGGACCCCCCCTCCCCGCGCCCCCCCGCTCCCCGCCGCATCCCCCGGGAGCAGCCGACACTTCCCAACTTCTTTGTTTCCGCCCCCGGCTGCGGGCGGGACCCCTCGTGTGCCCCCCCCTCCCGTCTCCGCTCCCCGTCTCCTCCGGTTCTCCCCCCGGTGTCCCCCCACGGCCGTGTCCTCGCCCCCGCCTGTGTCCCCCCCGTGTCCTACTCCCCTCGTATCCGCCCGCCCTGTTCCTCTCCCTGCTGTCCTCGCCCCCCTCCCCCAATTCCCCCTCCATGTCCGAGCCCCCCCGCGTCCCCTCTCCCACCCCACCGGCCTCAGGGTCCGCCCCCCACCCCGGTAACCGGCCCCGGTAACCGGCCCCGGGTGGATCGGTGCCCCCACGGAGCAGCCGGGCCCGGGACGCCCCCGGGGCTGACTCCTTTCGGGGGGTGACCAGCACCGGGACCCGCCACCCGCCGGCGCTGCCCCCCTGCAGCCGAGACCCCCCCCGCTGCAGGGACACCCCCAGAACAACCAAGGACACCCCCAGAGGGACCTGTCCGAGCCCCTCCCCTGCGGGGATCCCCCAAAAGAACCCCCGAAGGGACCTGGGCACGTACTAAGGCGCCCCCCAAGTAGGAACCCCTAGAAAATCAAGGACCCCCCCCAAGCGATTTGGGCCCCCCAGAGGGACCCACCCACGCCCCGCAAGTGGGGACCACCCTCCATGAGAACCAAGGACTCCCCCAAAATCACTTGGGCGCCCTCCCCCAAGTGGAGACCCCCAGAGGGACATCCCCGGGCCCCCCCTGCACCCAAGCTCGCCCCCCACCCCGCCGCCTCCTGACGCCCCCCCTCCTTCTCTCCCCAGTGGTCAGACGACAGCAAGATGGGGGTTTCTTTAAGGGCCCCCCGTATCCCGGCTACC